AGGGAAAACCAACACCTCTACAACAAAAAGACAAATAATCCAATTAAAAAACAGGCAAAGGAAATGAACAGACACTTCACCAAAGAAGACATTCAAGTGGCTAACAGACACATGAGGAAATGCTCTTGATCACTAGCCATTAGAGAAATGCAAATCAAAATCACAAGGAGATACCATCTCACCCCGGCATTACTGGCATGAATCAAAAAAACAGAAAATAACAAATGTTGGAGAGGCTGCAGGGAGATTGGAACTCTTACGCACTGCTGGTGGGAATGCAAGATGGTACAATCATTTGGAAAACTATATGGCACTTCCTTAGAAAGCTAGAAATAGAAATACCACATGATCCAGCAATCTCACTCATAGGAATATATCCTAGAGAAATAAGAGTTGTCACACGAATAGACTTATGCACACCCATGTTCACAATAGCAAAAAGATGGAAACAACCTAGATGCCCATCAACAGAAGAAAAGATAAACTATGGTACCTACACACAATGGAATACTACGCAATGATAAAGAACAATGAAGAATCTGCAAAGGATCTCACAACATGGATGAATCTCGAGGGCATTATGCTGAGTGAAATAAGTCAATCACAAAAGAACAAATATTGTATGAGACCACTACTATAAAAACTCATGAAAAGGTTTACACACAAAAAGAAATAATCTTTGATGGTTACGAGGGAGGGGAGGGGTAGGGGTGGAAAAACACTAAATAGACAATAGATAAGTGGTAACTTTGGTAAGGGGTGAGACAGTACACAATACTGGGGAAGTCAGCACAACTTGTTCAGGGTAAGTTCATGGAAGCTCCATGGACAAATCCAAACTCCCTTAGGGACCTAATTACTGGGCTAAGGGCTGTAGGGACCATGGTCTCGGGGAACATGTAGCTCAACTGGCATAACATAGTTTATAAAGAAAATGTTTTACATTCTACTTTGGTGAATAGCGTCTGGGGTCTTAAAAGCCTGTGAGCGGCCATCTAAGATACTCCACTAGTCTCACCCCTTCAGGAGCAAGGGAAAATGAAGAAAACTAAAGACACAAGGGAAAGATTACGCCAAAGGATGAACAGACTGCAACTACCACGGCCTCTACCACATTGAGTCCAGCACAACTAGATGGTGCCCGGCTACCACCACAGACTGCTCTGACAGGGATCACAATAGGGTCCAGGACAGAACTGGAGAAAAGTGTAGAACAAAATTCTAACTCAAAAAAAAGACCAGATTTACTGGCCTGACAGAGACTGGAGAAACCCCTAAAGCATGGCCCCCATATCAGTAATGAAGTCACTCCAGAGGTTCACCTTTTAGCCAAAGATTAGACAGACCCATAGGACAAAATGAGACTGAAGGGGCACACCAGCCCAGGGCCAAAGACTAGAAATCAGAAGGGGACAGGAAAGCTGGTAATAGGGAACCCAAGGTCCAGAAGGGAGAGTACTGACATGTAGTGGGGTTAACCAATGTCATAAAACAATACATGTACTAACTGTTTAGTAAGAAGCTAGTTTGTAAACCTTCATCTAAAATAAAAATAATAATAATACACATGAGGAACGTGCTTCTTAGTTCAATCATATATATGAGACCAAACAGGCAGCTCCTGTCCACAAGCAGGATGAGAAGGCAGGAAGGGACAGGAACTGATCAAATGGATACAGGGAACCCACGGTGGTAAGGGGGCATGTGCTATCACATTGTGGGGTCTGCAACCAATGTCACAAAACAACATGTGTACAAATTTTTGTATGAGAACTTAACTTGAGCTGTAAACTTTCACCTAAAGCACAATTAAAAAAAAAAAGAAAGAAAGATTGGTGGTTCCAACGCAAACAGCGGCACCACGGAAGAAAAAAATAGAAAACAAATGAAATAATATACGTAAAATGTTTAGAACATAACACGTGTATAATAAATGGTAGCTATTACTAGCGGTAGCTTCACCATAGACTTTCTGGTTGGGCATACCTGGACATTACACCTATAAAAGTTCTACAGTCATTTTCAAAATGTTGCCCTTCTTCACGGATGGGCTGGAGTTTCCCAAACTCTGCCTGTCCTTACCCAGCCCTCACCCTACCAGCTGTTGAGACAGGCCTAGATGATTCCAACAGCTTTCATCCCACTCTCCAATACGTGAGAGTGTTTTAAGGACGAAGTTTCCTCGGGGGCAGGTTTGACACCAAACACAGGACAGGAGAAGGAGCCTGGTTCCTTTTACCTAAGACGAGTCCGGGAACCGGCGCCCACTGGTCTGAAGACACAAAACCTCTCCTTGGGCAGCTCAACCATCCACCCCTCTCTGCGCCAGGGAACGCCTGACCTAGACGCGACGCCCTCTCCCGTCTCCCCGCGCGGCTTCCAGACGGCAGCAGTTCGAGGCCCGGATGGCGGCCATTGTGATCCTGGTGCCCAAAAGCCGCTGGTGCTGGGACGAGCCGGTGCACATCGTGGTGCGCGGGCTGGCGCCGGGGCAGAAGGTCACGCTGCGCGCGTCCCTGCGCGATGAGAAGGGCTTCCTCTTCCGGGCCCAGGCGCGCTACTGCGCGGACGGTGGCGGTGAGCTGGACCTGGCGCGCGCGCCCGCGCTCGGGGACAGCTTCTTGGGCCTTGAGCCTATGGGAGTCATCTGGGCGCTGGAGCCCAAGAAGCCCTTGCTGCGGCTGGTGAAGCGGGACGTACAGACGTCCTTCGCGGTGGAGCTGGAGGTGCTCGAGGGCCACGAGCCCGAGCCGCGGCGGGTTCTGGGCCAGGCGGTGCATGAGCGCCACTTCCTGCCCCCGGAGTGCGGAGGGAGCCGGTGCGCGCGCTGGGTGCGCGCCACGCTCTTCCTGCCGCCGGGTGAGCGACCTACTTCACTAATTGTCTTCCTGTGAGGATTGATGGGTAGGAGAGGTTGTGCTCTTAGCGGTCAGTCTTTACTGAGGGGACATAGCAGACTTTTGTGTTCATGGCTCTTAAATGTTTAGCGAGGTCCTAGTGGCGCAGGGGTTAAGAGGTCAGCTGCTAACCCGAAGGTTGGTGGTTCAAATCCACCAGCTGCTCACTGGAAACTATGGGGCAGTTCTGTTCTGTCCTATAGGGTCGCTATGAGTTGGAATAGACTTGAGGCAGGGGTTTGGGTTTGGTTAATTTCTAGATCCGAGGAGCAGCATCATTGGCATTACTTGAAGTTGGTTAGAAATGTAGACTATCGGGCCTGTCATGGAGTGAATTCCAACTCAAAGTGAGCCTATAGGACAGAGTAGAACTGCTCCATAGAGTTTCCAAGGCTGTAATATTTACAGAAGCAGACCGACACGTCTTTCTCCCGGGAACGCCTGGTGGGTTGGACCTTTAGGTTAGCAGCCAAGAGCTTAACTACCGCATCACCAGGGCTTCTTAGGCCCTCGCCTAGACCTGAATCAGAATCTACATTCTGACAAAATCCCCCAGGTGATTTATGTGCACATTAAAGTTTGAGAGCCACAGCGCTAGAGCATTGAGTCTCCAAATGTGTACCAGTGACAGCAGCATCTCTATCATATTTGTTAGAAATGCAACATTTGGAGAGGCGGTACAAAGATGGCGGAGTAGTCAGACACTTCTAGTGGACCCTCTTACAACAAAGACCTGAAAAAACAAGTGATTTGATTATATATGGCAGTCTGGGAGCCCTGAACATCAAACGCAGAGTTGAGGAACCAGACTGAGTGGCAGGGGGAGGGACAGACGGTTCGGAAGTAGTGAGGAGTTGCCAGACTTGACCGAGTGAGAGCTTGAGCCCTGCAGACTTGAGCACCTCATGGGTGAGCGGTGAGGCAGGCAAGAAGCCAAGCTTGGGAGGCGTGTTTTCTGCACCAGGAGAGACCCAGTGCCAGAGAGTCTATACGGACACCCAGAACCAGTGAGAAGCAGCCCTAGATCGGTGAAAGAAAAGTACTTGCGTATGGCCTACCACGCAGATCAAAAACACCCCCCTTAGGGAAAAACCTGTCTCCCATTTACCTCCCTTCAGCAATTGCCGAGTCCCCTAGGCCGGAAGTAGGATCCATCACACGCCCAGAGCCATTGTCCCTGCCTTGGAGAGTGAACAAATTAACAAACGGGGGAAAAAATAAACTGCCAGCTCCCCTAAGCCAGGAACCCAGGGTAGGCACAGCTCCTTTGCCTAGGCACAGGCAGAAGGGATCCACAGACTTTGATTGCGTTTCCCTCTACATAGACTTGTGTGGGCCCATCTCAACAGTGTAGGTCCTCATTACCGCAGTACAACAGGGTGTATACCTGAAGTCTTAACTTCAACTGTTTCAGCTGTGAAGTGGCAGGTTCATGACATTGGACACTGCTCTGCCCATTAAGCAGGGTCTTCACCTACCCACATCAGGAGCCTGAGAACTGGTGGCTCCACCCATGCCACCTAGCCACCTGCGAGAGGGGCCCACGAATAAGAGGTGCCCCCCACTCCTTACAGCCAACAGCATTAGGTGCTCATAGTCCGGCTGCAAAACCCACCCACCTGCGTGTTCTAGGGAACAGGGACACGCCTTTTGGACACTCGGAGTGGCTGTCAACCCCCTGCCTTGCTCAGAGTGTGTCCCCCTGTTGCAGCCAGATGCCTGTGCCTACACCAATCACCCATGCCTGTCTAGGACTGTAAGTGAGAGCCTACACCACACACTTGGTGGCTATCTACCTGGGCACCTGATCTGAATCCATACAGGAGGAGTGGGCAGACTCCTGAGCTCACATACCTCAGATCTAACCACCTGGTGACAGGACATTAGAGCTTTAAAGTTGCCAATAATCAAACTAGCTCATGTGAGCAGCCTATTTGGGTATATCAAAAGAAAACGAGAAGCTAGAACACAGGAAGCAAACATAAATAAATATAATAACTTATTGGTGGCTCAGAGACAACAGTCAATATCAAATCACATAAAGAGGCAAAACATGATGACTTCAGCAAGCTCCTAAAATAAAGAATCCAGAAATTTTCCAGAGAAGGAAAATTTCCTGGAATTACCAGAGGCAGAATACAAAAGATTAATATACAGAACTCTTTAAGAAATTAGGAAGGAAATTAAGCAAAATGCAGAACATGCAATAAAGGAATTTAAAAATATTAGAGAACAGCATAATGACAAATTTAACAGGCTCCAAGATCAATAGAGAGACAGCAATCAGAAATCCAGAAGATTAACAATAAAATTTCAGAATTAGACAACTCAATAGAAAGTCATAGGAGCAGAATTGAGGCAATGGAAGTCAGAATTAGTGAGACTGAAGATAAAGCACTTCACACCAGCTTATTTGAGGAAAAATCAGATAAAAGGATTAAAAAAAAAAAAAAAATGAAGAAACCGAAAGAATAATGTGGGACTCTATCAAGAGGAATAACCTATGAGTGATTGGAGTACCAGAACAGGAGGGAATAACAGAAGATACAGAGAGAATCATTGACAATTTGTTGGCAGAAAACTTCCCTGATACCATGAAAGATGAGAAGATACCTATCCAAGATGCTCATCGAATCCTATGTAACGTAGATCCCAAAAGAAAGTCACCAAGACATATTATAAACAAACTTGCCAAAACCAAAGATAAAGAGAGAATTTTAAGAGTGGCTAGGGATAAATGAAAAGACATCTACAAAGGAGAGTTAATAAGGATAAGCTTTGACTACTCAGCAGAAACCATGCAGGCAAGAAGGCAATGAGATGACATATATAAAGCCTTGAAGAAAAAAACTGCGAGCCAAGAATTACATATCCAGCAAAACTGTCTCTCAAATATGATGGTGAAATTAGGGCATTTCCAGATAAACTGAAGTTTAGGGAGTTTGCGAAAACCAAACCAAAATTACAAGAAATGCTAAAGGGAGTCCTCCGGTTAGAAAATCCATAACATCAGATAACCCAAGACTAGAACACAGGACAGAGCAACCAGATATCAGCCAAGATACAGAAGGCACAAAAGTAAATCAGAGCTAAAACACTGAAAATAGGGAAACACATCAATACGTAAAAGATGACAACATTAAAAAAGAGGGACTTAAAAAGTAGACATAGATTTTTCATACTGAGAGGAAGTCAAGGTGATATAAAGAAATAAGAGACTGGTATAAACTTAGAAAAAATAGGGGTAAATATTAAGGTAACCACAAAGGAAACTAACAATCCTACACATGAAAATTAAAAAGTAGAAAAATGTAAACACTTAGTAAACACAAAATCAACAACAATGAAAAACATGAAAAGAAAATACATAAAGAAAAACGACAAAGAACAGAAAATTAAGTGGAACAAAGAAAACAAGACACGAAAAAAGACATCAAAATGACAGCACTAAACTCATACCTATCAATAACTACGCTGAATGTAAATGGACTAAATGCACCAATAAAGAGACAGAGTGGCAGATTGGATTACAAAATACGATCCGTCTATATGCTGCCTACAGGAGACACACCTTAGACTTACAGACACAAACAAACTAAAACTCAAAGGATGGAAAAAAATATATCAAGCAAACAACACTCAAAAAACAGCAGGAGTGGCAGTATTAATCTCTGCCAAAGGAGACTTTAAAGTAAAATCCCCCATAAAGGATAAGGAAGGACAGTATATAATGATTGAATGATCAATACGCTAGGAAGACATAACTATAATAAATATTTACACACCCAACAACAGGGCTCCAAAATACATAAACTCTAACAGCTCTGAAAAGAGAGACAGCTCCACAATAGTAGTAGGAGACTTCAACACACCACTTTTGGTGAAGGACAGAACATCCAGAAAGAAGTTCAGCAGAGACACGGAAGAGCTAAATGCTGCAGTCAACGAAGTTGATCTCATAGACGTATACCGAACACTCCACCCAACAGCAGCGAAGAGTACTTTCTTTTCCTTTTCCAATGCACATGAAACATTCTCCAGAATAGACCTCATATTAGGCCATAAAGCAAGCCTTAACAAAATCCAAAGCAGTCAAATAATATAAAGCATCTTTTCTGACCATAAAGCCATAAAAGTAGAAATCAATAACAGAAAAAGCACAGAAAAAGAATCAAGCACATGGAAACTGAACAACGCCTTGCTCAAAAACTACTGGGTTATAGAAGAATTTAAGGATGGAATAAATAAATTCATAGAATCAAACAAGAATGAAAACACATCCTACCAGAACCTTTGGGACACAGCAAAAGCAGTGCTCAGAGGTCAGTATATAGCAATAAATGCACACATCCAAAAAGAAGAAAGGGCCATAATCAAAACATTAACCTTACGACTGGAACAAGTAGAAAGAGAGCAGCAAAAGAAGCCTTCAGGTGCCAGAAGAAAGGAAATAATTAGAACAGAATTAAATGAAATAGAGAATAGAAAAAAATTGAAAGAGTTAACAAGACCAGAAGCTGGTTCTTTGAAAATATCAACAAAATTGGTAAACCATTGGCCAAACTGACAAAAGAGAAACAGGAGAGGAAGCAGATAACCCATATAAGAAATGATATGGGTGATACCACAACAGACCCAACTGAAATTAAAAGAATCGTTAACAGAATACTATGAAAAATTGTACTCTAATAAATTTGAAAACCTAGAGGAAATGGACAAATTTTTAGAAACTCACTACCTACCTAAACTAACACAAACAGAGGTAGAACAACTAAATAAACCTACAACAAAAGAAGAGACTGAAAAGGTAATTAAAAAACTCCCAACAAAAAAAAGCCATGGCCCAGATGGCTTCACTGGAGAATTCTACCAAATGTTCAGAGAAGAGTTAACACCGCTACTACTAAAGGTATTTCAGAGCATAGAAATGGATGGAATACTCCCAAACTCATTCT